AAAAACGTAAAGCTTAAAAGGAAACTTCTGCTTTCCTGTATTTCTTTACTAAGCAACACCCCGGATCCTGTCAACAGTTGTGGGTGCTTCATCACTGGAGGCTTGTAAGAAAAGACTGGATGGCCACGTATCTGGAATGGCACAGGGACTCCTGCTTGAGCAGGGGGTTGGACTAGAAGACCTCCAAGGTCCCTTCCAACATCTGCTCTTCTGTTACCGTATCCATCTTGAAAATAACCCATTTGGAACTGTAGGCCATTCAAACATCAGCACAGGAAATGTTTTATGACATTTTGTATTATTTATAGTTATTGATATGCCGCCTGTATTATTTTTACAAATAAGGTGGGCAACATATCCAATACACTTGCCTTCTATTCTCCCCGCAACCATCACCCTGTGAGGTGGGCCGGGCTAAGAGATCGGCCCAAAATCACCCAGCAGGCTTTCCTGGCTAAGATGGGACTTGAACTCAAGGTCTCCCGCTTTCTAGTCTGGTGCCTTAACCACTAGACCAGGAATCTTCAAACTTGGCCCTTTTATGACTGGCGGACTTCAACTCCCAGAATTCCTCAGCCAGCTGGCTGAGGAATTCTGGGAGTTGAAGTCCACCAGTCATAAAAGGGCCAAGCTTGAAGACCCCTGCACTAGACCAACCTGGCTATGTCATAAACTGCTTTATTATAATGTCTATGTCATAGAATGTTTTATAAATTTCGCAAAATCTCAATCCCACAGGGTGTTGTGTGTCCCACGTCGGGCTGCGTTCTGAAAGTTAGCCCATCTGAGGTGCCTCGATTCAAAAAGTTTTACCTGCGGCGCACCTTCGCCCAGGTAAAAGGTACAGGAAACGGGAGTTTTAGTGTGCGTGTGTGCGTATTAAGAAAAACGAAATCATCTTAAAAAGCTGGGATCTTGAAATCTCACAAGATTTCTCGTGAATCTGAAGATCACTGTAGATTTTACAAAGAGACGGCATAGCCACACTCCACTCAGTATCAAGGATGCCGCTGTAGCAATGGTCAACAGTATGAAGGATCTGGGGGTGCAGATCATAACAATCTGAACTGGCCTCTCCACACCTCACCCTTAGTGAAGCGTGCAAAACAGTGCCTGCATTTCCTGCGGCGGATGAGGAGAGCACGTCTTTCTCCTTCTGTCCACTTTTTACAGAGGTACGATTGAGGGCATTTGAACAAACTGCATCACTGTCTGGTTTGGTGGCCGCAGTGCCTCAGATAGAAAGTCCATAGAGAGAGTGGTAAGGACAGCCGGAAAGATCATAGGAAGCTCGCTCCCTGGTATTTAGGATGCTGCTTATAACCGTTATGTGCTTAGAGCTCAAAGCATTGTTAGAGACCCACACACACCCACTTCACGGTCTGTTTCTGTTGCTCCCCTCTGGGAGGAGGTTTTGAAGTATTTCTAGCAGGACTACCCAATTCTGTAATAGCTTTGTTCCCTAGGCCAAGGCTTTTCAACCAGTGGTACGGGTACCACCTGTGGTACACTGGCACCTGGCAGGTGGTACGCGACCATCCTAGAAAAGTGGTAGTGGGGGAGGGGAATGAGCTGAACCGGTGGCAGCACCGTACATGCCTGAGCGAGAGATGGCTGGAGCTGCAGGGCTGTCAGGGCTCAGTGGAAGCGCCAGGATCAGCACTTCTTCGGGGCTGTCAGGGCTCAGTGGAAGCGCCAGGATCAACACCAGGCTCCAGCTGGAGCTCGGCGCTGATCCTGGTGCTTCTGCTGAGCCCAGAAGAAGTGCCAATCAGCTGGAATGTTGCAGTATCTCCAGGGTCTTGTGATTTACATTCAGATGCTTGGCAACTGATTCATATTTATGATGGAATCAGTGTCCCAGGGTCATGTGAAATGACCAAAACCTGCTGCAACCACCCAGCAGACAGGGGGAATAAAACCAAACACCACACCACACCACCCCTACTGCCAATCCTCAACAGAAATGCTCACAACAATGAAAACCTCGGACAGGAGGAAGAACGCTGCCGGGTGGGCAGGCAGGTATCTTGCTCGGCTGTGCCTTGGGGGGCACTTTTTTCAGTGCCATTTTAACTTCGAACAGTCACTAAGCAAACTGTTGTAAATCGAGGACTACCTGTACTTTATCACTTTTTTCCTTTTTTTTTGGTCATCAAGTTTTTGACACCTTGCTAGGCGACTGGTGGTACTCGGCTATTGCCATATCCTAAAAGTGGTACAATGGGTGAAAAGGTTGAAGAGCCCTGCCCTAGGGCATCTGTCTGGTAAATTCGGAAGATTCATTTTTCTTGCCATCACATGTATACATAATCCAAACTAGACTGTGTTATAATAATAAAGTTGGAAGGGACCTTGGAGGTCATCTAGTCCAACCCCCTGCTCAGGCAGGAAACCCTATACCATTTTGGTGTTTCTCTGTGTCATATATGTGGGTATATGCATAACTCTGTATTTATTTTTGTCATATTTATGTATATATTGGAGGTGGTGACCCTTTGGGAGCTGTATGCATCGAAATTTCATTTTAATGTATGCTGATTAGTGTACATTCAAAGAGACAATAACGTTATCGTTCTATTCTATATTCTCTCTCATCCCTCCAAGATCTAATGTGGTCTTTGAAAAGAAGACTCAGATTTCAAGGTATGGATTTTTTCCCCCTTAATTTTAAAAAATGGAATTTTGACCTTGGGAATACTATTCCCTGAAAATCCAGTCTGATATTAAGTGGAGATCTTTTACCCTTTTGCGTAAATCCACTTCCCATACCAATGAATATTTCTTTGTCCAGAAAACAAAAATGCCATCACAATAATCCGACTCTTGAAGAAAGCAAAAATATTAGAGAAATTTCTGTTGCAATAATTCCCATACTGGACACGTGACAAGAGATGTTGCCTCTGATCCAATGTTCCCTTTAGATTTATTCTAATCAGCTTCTGCCAAGAGTTAACAAATTTCTACCTTCCCTCTCCATTGACAAAGATTGTGCCCATCACTTACTTGCAACAGAGAACCAAATTGTAAACTAATTTCTGAGAAATTAGTCAAAGGGCTGAAATATTTTCAACCTAACTCAGCAGGAACGCAGGAATGCAGAGGATGAAAACAAGCATCGGGTTACGTTAATGATAATTGAGTAAACATAGCAATAGATTCAATTTCTTTCCAAAGTGAAGTTTGCTATACATATTTGATGGCTGGGATAAGAAACAGCCAAGTTTAAAAAATCATTCAGTTCCCCTACTTATAGCAGCCAAATCAGTCAATGCTAAAGAATAAAAATGTCTAGATAACATTTCGGAGGACAGATTCCCCATGTTGAAGTACCCACCTCTTCAAATCGCCAAGGTTTAAGCAACAGTATTAGCACAGCATCTGGGAAACAAGTTTGTAATCCGACATTAAGGGCGTGTTAAAATTTTGTACCGGCACTCTGTAAATGTTTGAAATTCTCATGAAAATTCAAAATTTTTAAAAAAGTATTAAAAAGTGTTATAGGCGAACCCAGATCAACATGATGAAAGCAGCCTGGCAGCATCGCACAGCAAGCTCTGTCCCTTTCTTATGTGCGGACGGTCCTGGCACATATACTAAAGGGGGTGGGGGCTTATGTCACAATGTTACACGTTTTCATCACTCTCCTCTCCACACATACACTAGGGATGCCTAGAACTAACATAAAAATCAAGCATTTCATTTGAAAGAGCTACAGTGCAAAAGAACCCCAGGGTTACCTACAACCAGTTACACATTGCAGTCATTTCCATTCGCTCAAAAACCTGCCAACTTTTTGATATGGCTACCGTGGTCTGGAACACAGGTAGTCCAAGTTTAGCTCCCACAATTGGGACCAACAGCTGTTGTTAAGTGAAGCGGTCGCTAAGTGGGAAATCACAGGACTGTCACTGGGCTTCGGTTTCCTCTATTTCTCCCGATCCTTTGGAATGCTAAGCCCGGCACTGGGATAATAAGCAAAAAGGGAATTAATGTATATATTTACATTCACTGGAGAGAAAGGGATTGCAAGGGAGTAACGAAAACAATAGGGAATGCACGTTGAAATCAATCTCTTGATACTGGCTATGTAAACAGCCCAAAGTATTCCCCATTGTCTGCCCTGCTTATTCTCTTGTAATCCTTTCATCTCCAATCTCTCCATTCTGTGAGGGGGCATTAAAAAAAAGGTTTTCTGTAGGCAAGCTCTCCTATGCCTGACCTGTTTTCTCCCCCACCCCACTTATACAGCAGAGAGTTTGAAGAGAATGGGATTACAAGAGAGTTTGAAGAGAATGGGATTACAAGAGAGTAAGCAGGTACATAATGGAGAATATACTGGCTGCTATGGCCATATATTGCATTCCCCATTGTGTGCCTGCTTGCTCTCTTGTAAACTTCTCCAATTTCTCCAAGGGAGAAAGGGAGGAGGGGAAAAAAAAGGACAAACAACGGGTCAGGCACAGGACACAGCATACTGACTGTAAGAGCGAACACATGATCGAGGAACGCTTTGAAGGTCGTTTAGTGCAGACACCAGTCGCAAAGTTAGCTTTTCAGCACTGATGTAACTTTGACTGGTCACTGAATAAAAGCAGTCAGTAAGCAAGGACTACCCATACAGTTAAGATGTTGTTTCACTGCCTTTGGGAACCTTCACACCAGCACCTGTTTCACGGGGCTCAGCAATTTCGCTGAGGCAGCTGACCGTTCCATCTTTCCATCTTTGTCTTCTCCCCCTCCAACCGAGGAGCCATTTTAAAGCACAGTCAAGTCTATTTTAGGTCTTAATTTGAGTGTTTTCTCCTGCAAAACAGCACCCCCCCCATCCCTTGCGACTTGAGGCTGCGGGTCGTGCATTCCCGGTTTAAGTGCTCAGTGCTGCGAACTACAAGGAAACAAAAGTGGTGAGGACAGACAGGAAGGAGGGGCTCCTGAGGAGAAATCAATTTCCAAACTAAAAGGTGAAAGAGTGCCATCTTAATTCCAGCTGCCCGCCACTACTGGGGGGGCGGAGAAAGGTAAGCCGACGGTTTCTCGCGCGCGTGCTTTCTCACAAAGTGCTTGACCACGTGTGCACGCTGGGTGAAGTTCTTCCGGCAGATGGCGCACTTGTAAGGCTTCTCTCCCGTGTGCATCCTCTGGTGCACCAACAGGCCGGAGGAATGCCGGAAGTGTTTCCCACACTCGGAGCACTGATACGGCTTCTGCTCAGTGTGGATCACAATGTGGGTTAGGAGAGTCGTCTTCTGGTTAAAGCTCCTCCCACAGTCGGAGCACTGATACGGCTTCTCTCCTGTGTGGATTCTTTTGTGTCGATTCACGCTCGACTGCGTGGCGAAGACCTTCCCACAGATCGGGCAGGGGCTGCCCTGCCTTCCCTTATACAACGCCGGCGAGCTGTGAAGCTTATCGAGGTCGTCATAGGGACCTATCATGGCTATGTTTTTTTCTTCTGCGACCTCGCCTTCCACCTGCTTCTCGTGTTCTTCTAGAGGACCAAAGACACCATCTTTCCACTCCCCTTTCAGCTGTCCTGCGGTCATCTCCTTCTTCTGCCCGTTCAACAGTCTCCCCAGTTCCAATCTCTGCCTGAAGCTCTTCTTGCAAGAAATGCACTTGTACACCTTCTCTCCGGTGTGGTCTATCTGGTAGGCGTTGACACCCCACTTCGGTTTGAAGTTTTTCCCACAGTCCGAACACTGATACGACTTGTCCCTGGCATGGACCATCTCGTGGGAGAGCAGGTTGGTCTTCCGATTGAAGCTTTTCCCACAGTGGGAACATTTGTAGGGCTTCTCTCCGGTATGGATAATAAGATGTCTATTCAGGCTTGATTTTCGGGTAAACGCTCTCCCGCAAAGGGGGCAGGAATGCCTTGGCCCATCTTTGTGCTGCCTTGGCGGGACAGAGAATCTCCAGAGGTTGACCCCATCCAGCTCATTAACGGGCGTCTCTTCTGAATTCTGCGTTTCATTTTCTTCGGGATAATCAACCACAACATCTTTGATCTCTGACGTGTCAAAAGTGACTGACTGATCTTCCTCAATGGGTGGATACGTCTCTTGGTCGCTTTCTAGAACGGGGGAAAAAATGTACAATGTTATAATACTGCTTTATGCTGTTATTGCAAAACACAAGCAACACACCATATTAACTGGGGGAACAGTAGCGTCTGTACAGATTATGAACGTTCTGATGATTTAGATCTAGATCTAGAAAGAGTACAGAGAAGAGCAACAAAGATGATTAGGGGACTGGAGGCTAAAACATATAACGAACGGCTGCTGGAATTGGGTATGTCTAGTTTAATGAAAAGAAGGACGAGGGGGGACATGATAGCAGTGTTCCAATATCTCAGGGGTTGCCACAAAGAAGAGGGAGTCAAGCTATTTTCCAAAGCACCTGAAGGCAGGACAAGAAGCAACGGATGGAAACTAAGCAAGGAGAGAAGCAACCTGGAACTGAGGAGAAACTTCCTAACAGTGAGAACAATTAACCAGTGGAACAACCTGCCTCCAGAAGCAGTGAATGCTCCAACACTGGAAGATTTTAAGAGACTGGACAGCCATTTGTCTGAAATGGTATAGGGCTTCCTGTCTGAGCAAGAGGTTGGATTAGATGACCTCCAAGGTCCCTTCCAACATTATTATTATTATTATTATTATTATTATTATTATTATTATTATTATTATTATTATTATTATTATTATTATTATTATTATTATTATTATTATCTTAAAACCTTTAAAGATAAAAAAAGGATTTATGGCAACTGCAATAGCACTCTGACTTATATACCGCTTCACAGTGCTTTACAGCCCTTTCTAAGCAGTTTTACAGAGTCAGCCTGTTGCCCCCAACAATCTGGGTCTTCGTTTTACTAACCTCGGAAGGATGGAAGGCTGAGTCAACCTTGAGCTGGTGAGAATCGAACTGCCAAACTGCAGTCAGCCGGCAGTCAGTGGAAATAGCCTGCAGTACTACATTATTACCACTGTGCCACCACATCACGGCACATTATGACCATAATGTCAATATTATTATGATTTCTAAAATGTTAAATCTTTGTCAGCATAAGGCTGATTATGCAGAGCTGAGTATATACCAGGGGTAGGCAACCTTGGCTCTTTTATGACTCGTGGACTTCAAATCCCAGAATTCCTGAGCCAGCCATGCTGAGGGGAAAGGGAGAGGTTTCCAAGCTGAGCCAGGCTGGCTCAGGAATTCTGGGAGTTGAAGTCCACGAGTCATAAAAGAGCCAAGGTGGCCTATCCCTGGTATATACCCTGGAGAATTACATCAGTGTTTCTCAACCTTAGCAACTTTAAGATGTGTGGATTTCAACTTCCCACGGTGGCTCCCCCTTAAGACCCTCAACTTCAGGTGTGCAGAATTTGATCGTTTCCGACTCTTTGTGCCCGTATGTGTTTTGCTAAATTTATAAATTTATTTTGTGTATACGTTTGTACGTGTGACCCGTCTGGGTTTTGGACTCAGTGCGGGGGATCCACCGTAGTAGACGGTAGTAGAGACGGTGGATTTTTAATTTTTTTTTTTTTTAAAAGAGAGGAAAATGGAAATGTTAAACCCTTTTGCCCAATCATAGTTAACTGGTATTGGTTTGATAATCACAAAAAAAAATTAAAAAAAATTCCAGGAATTGGAAGCCAAGAAGCAAGCACAATTAAACAGGATGCGTGTTCAATCCCCGCTCTCAAAAGGATTCGTAACACAGAATCCAGAGCTGAAGAAACAGACAATCCTCACCTAATGAAGAAATGTCCTCGTTTCCCTCAGGCTTGATCTCTTTATAGGGGGGTCTCTCTGGGGTCTCCAGGGATGGCTGCCCAAAGTCACCGAAATCTTCAGCCCGTTCATCAACTGGACTTGGGACCTAAAGGAACGGAAAAAAAGATAGAAGGTTAGAATTTGAAAGTTGGGATTATTGTACCTTTTTTGAGGGAGGGAGGTTGAAACTAGACAAAAAAGGAGTCAGTTGTATTTTTTACTCAGGGTTGCAGAATTAAGAGCTGCTCCAGAGTGGAAAATTTCAGACAACCTATTCTTGAATAATTGGCGTGCTAAGGTAAGCTCTAACTGCTAAAATTTCAATAGAGGCTAACTTTTTTCCAGATCTGGAAAGATGCTACAACTAACTATAATTGTTAGTTAATAACTAATAATAATACCTTCTCTTTTGACAAATTTAGTGCTGTGTGAAAGCAACTATTGAATGTTGAGATACATTGTTCAAGGGTGTTTTCTTGTATTCTTGTTTCTTGCCTTACGAAATACTACTACTACTACAACTACTACTACTACTACTACTACTACTACTAATAATAATAATAATAATAATAATAATAGTAATAATAAAGTTGGAAGGGACCTTGGAGGTCATCTAGTCCAACCCCCTGCTCAGGCAGGAAACCCTATACCATTTCGGACAAATGGCTGTCCAGTCTCTTCTTAAAAACTTCCAGTGTTGGAGCATTCACTGCTTCTGGAGGCAGGTTGTTCCACTGGTTAATTGTTCTGCCAGGAAGTTTCTCCTTAATTCTAGGTTGCTTCTCTCCTTGATAATAATAATAATAAAGTTGGAAGGGACCTTGGAGGTCATCTAGTCCAACCCCCTGCTCAGGCAGGAAACCCTATATACCCATTTCGGACAAATGGCTGTCCAGTCTCTTCTTAAAAACTTCCAATGTTGGAGCATTCACCGCTTCTGGAGGCAGGTTGTTCCACTGGTTAATTGTTCTGTCAGGAGGTTTCTCCTTAGTTCCAGGTTGCTTCTCTTCTTGATTAGTTTCCATCCGTTGCTTCTTGTCCTGCCTTCAGGTGCTTTGGAGAATAGCTTGACTCCCTCTTCTTTGTGGCAGCCCCTGAGATACTGGAACACTGCTATCATGTCCCCCCCTCAGCCTTCTCTTCATTAGACTAGGCCAGTGGAGGCGAACCTATGGCACGGGTGCCAGAGGCGGCACTCAGAGCCCTCTCTGTGGGCACACGTGCCGTCGCCCCAGTCCTAGGCCTTCAGCTGGGTTTTATAAAACCTTTTCGCTTTAGGCCTCCGCCGCCATGTGCAAAAAAAATAAAAAGGTTCAATCAGTCAATTTTAACTTCTCGCGGGGAAAAAAAAAGATCTTGCAAAGTTTGAATTGATTGATTGAACTTTTTAGTCCCACCCAGTCTGCCGTTACCACCGCAGCCACGCCCACCCAATGGGCCACACCCACCCAATAAGGCCACGCCCACCCGGCACTCAACGATGCATAAGTGGGTTTTGGGTTGCAGTTTGGGCACTCAGTCTCTAAAAGGTTCGCCATCACTGAACTAGATATACCCAATTAAACACGAACAATTAGATTAAAAGCAACGCCAGAGTTAGAAAGAACCTTAGGTGTCATCTGGGGGTACCCCATCTTTGATCTTGGAGAGGTCACCCTTTGCCATAATCTTGGGGCCTCCCTGGACTCACAATTCCTGTTTGAAGGGCAGGTGGCGGCCCTGGCCAGGAAGACCTTTGCTCAATTGCCCAACTGGTGCACCAGTTGCATCTTTTCCTAGATCAAAGGGACTTTCAGACATGGCCTGGTCATCTGATGGCTTGACTACTGCAATCTGCTCTACATGGGGATGACCTTTGAAGACCAAGCTTCAAGTGGTCCAGATTGAAACAGTGTAAGCTGTGATGGGCAGGCCTCAGTACACCCGTGCACAAAACAGCTGAACGCTGAGAATGTGTTTGAAAACCTCACCACTTTATGTTCTGCTGATTGACAGCTCAGAATCAGGAAATTTCTCTTCTTGTGGTAGCCCCATAAATATTGGAAGACTGCTATCACATCACCCCTGGACCTTCTTTTCATTAAATTAGTCATAGCCAATTCCAGAAATATGTTTAAGCCTCCAGTCTCCTAATCATCTTTGTTGCTCTTCTCTGCACTCTTTCTAGAGTCTCAACATCTTTTTTACATCGTGGTGATCAAAGCTGGATGCAGTATTCCAAGTGTGGCCTTACCAAGGCATTGTAAAGCGGTACTAACATTTCATGTGATCTTGATTCTATCCCTCTGTTAATGCAGCCTAGCATTGTGTTGGCTTTTTTTGGCAGCTACAGTACACGGCTGGCCCATATTTAAGTGATTGTCCACTAAGACTGCGAAATCCCTCTCACAGTTACTACTATTGAGCAGGTACCACCTATACCATACCCATGCATTTGGTTTTTCTTGCCTAAATGTAGACTTCAAATTTGACTCTTTTATGACTTGTGGACTTCAACTCCCAGAACTCCTCAGCCAGGCACGCTGGCTGAGGAATTCTGGGAGTTGAAGTCCACAAGTCATAAAAACGCCAGGTATCACCTATACCAGGGGTGTTAAAATTGCTGGCCCGTGGGCCGGACGCATCACGATGAAACCGCGCCCACCCCATTGCCGGCAATGGGGGAAAAGTTCGGATACGTCGCACGTCACATGTTTGACATGTCTGACCTATACTATACCCGTGCATTTGGTTTTTCTTGTCTAAATGTAGAGCAGGGGTCTTCAAACCTGACCCTTTTATGACTGGTGGACTTCAACTCCATGCACGCTGGCTGAGGAATTCTGGGAGTTGAAGTCCACCAGTCATAAAAGGGCCATGTTTGAAGACCCCTGATGTAGAGCCTCACTTTTCTCACCATGGAAACAGGCTGGCCTAGTTTTTTTGCCAGCAAGCATGGAACAGGATGTGTTTTCATGATGCTTGGGTATAGGTAGTGACATCACTAAGGAAGCCCTACCCTGCAGGGGGTATTGTTACGTAGGCATGAAAAGCAGCGTTCCACGAGATGCTGGAGCAGTGGTTCTCAACCTTTTTAATGCCGCGACCCCCAACCGGTCGTAAGTCGAGGACTAAACTGGTTGTAAGTCGAGGACTAAACCGGTCGTAAGTCAAGGACTACCCAACCGGTGGTAAGTCGAGGACTTTCCCTGCCCGGGAGCGCCGCGCATGCGTGGTTCTGCCCCCTGCGCCGGCCGAGGCGTAGCTGGCAAGCGGCAGAGACGGAGCAGGCCGACCACCAGCTGGCCCAGCCCAAGGGAGGTAAGGCACCCGCCGGAAAAGGGGAAAAAAATGGCGGACAGCCTTGCTTGACGACCCCCGTGAAATGGTCGATCGACCCCAAATGGGGTTGCGACCCATAGGTTGAGAACCGCTGTGCTGGAGGAATTGAGCCTGGAATTATCCCACAGGCAAAACGGGGCTCCTGAAAGATAAGGACGCATTCGATATTCTCACCTCCTCTTCCGGCTGCTCCGCCTCTTGCTGCCTCAGCAAGAACTCCTCCGCCAGAGCTACCGCCAGCGAGCACGTCTCTGCTCCATATCCCCGAATTCTTCTCTGGATCTCCCGAGGCAGGATCTCCAGGAACTGCTCCAGGACCACCAGCTCCAGGATCTGGTCTTTGGTGCGTCTTTCTGGCTGCAACCATCCCCAGCAGAATTTCCTCAGCCGCCTGCAAGCCATTCTGGGACCTTCCGACGGTTGGTAGCGGAACGTCCTGAAGCGCTGGCGATGGGCTTCCTCGGAGCTGGTTTGTTCGTCCTGCTTGAAGGCGGGCGGGACGGTGACGATCCTTCTCCCCCGGACGTCCTGCTGGCCTTCCCAGCCCCCCAAGGAGTCCTCTGGGGTGTTTCCCCACATGGAGCATGACGACTCTGCTTCTTTGAGGAAATTCTGCCACCGGTTTTCCCAAGATGCCATGTTTCCTTCTTCTGGTTCCATTTTAATCTGCGACGGCGTCGCCGCGGGCAAGTCCTCTCCCACAATGCCCGTCACAACAAGCTGGAGGCTGCCCTCAGATTCAGCAGCGGGGCTGCCCGTGGCTTCCTTTTCGGTTTTCATCTTTGGGGTACCCCTGGGATCAAAATGAAAGAAAAAAAAGAGTCATTCATCAATGGATAATTATCAGCGACAATTGCCATCGCTTACCAAAATGGGGCATGGTATCCTCCCCTCGGTGGGACTGTGTGGGGTCCCAGTCAAACTGTAGATCGCATCGTGACCGACTGTAAGCTGAGGGCCTATGCCGGTCCAGTACGGGTAGTCCTTGACTTACAACAGTTTCGTTTAGTGACCGTTCCAAGTTACAACAGCACTGAAAAAAGCGACGTATCCCTTTTTCCCAATTCTGGGAATTATAAGTCCACAAGTCTCAAAGTTCCTGAGGTTGGAGATCCCTGTTGTGGATGATGGTTTTGAAGCCCAACCTAATCTGCACAGGGGATTTGCCTTGTTTTAAGCTAATTTATCGCGCTGATTAAATGACAGTTGTTTTCTGTAGATCAAGATTATATTCAGCCCATATGCCCAAGTATTATGTTTGGATATAAAGTGCAGGTAGTCCTCAATGTATGACTATTTCTGTAACTAGAAGTTACAATGGCGTTTTAAAAACTGACCCACTGGTCCTTGCAGTTACAACCACCGCGGGGTCCCCACAGTCGTGTGATCATAATCACGTGATCGAGGGCATCCTGTCGTATCGCATTACAGCCCGGTTTGGAAGCGTTACTGCTTCAAGACAGGAAGGCGGTGCAGAGAGTGGTGAGGACGGCAGAAAATATTATTGGCAGTTCTCTCCCTTCCATCCAGGACATGACATATAAGCGCTGCTTGAGTAAGGTCTGCAGGACTGTCTGGGACGCTACACATCCTCTCCACAATCTGC